CCCCCCCCCCCCCCCGGGGCGGGTACTAAGTGCCCGTTCCAAAGGTCTCCGTCTTGATGAGAGTTGACTGTACACCAAATCTCTATTAACCCTAAGAGTGATCAGCGTCAAATTTCTCCTTGTAATAACATTGCTTTATAAAAGTAAAACAGAGTGGTCATGACAATTAAGGACATGATCACACAAGATGAATGTAATCGACACTTCAACAAATTATCCCCACTTCTTCTATTGAAAACGTATCGGGATAACAAATGAGAATTTGAATTTTGATGTTAGGGTTTAAAGGGTTAAGGAGTCAACGTCTATTATGGGACTTCTTGATAAAAAGAATCGTTTTACTTTTTTCTGTCAGTAGTGTAAAGTTGCTGTTTAAGGAGGAATCAGGTGTTGATCAAAATGACATTTATTAGAAGCTCACTAACAACCTCTTGGTCGCAAATCTGGGACCTTAGGTTTACACAATACAATGCCATATAAGGTGACCAGTGAACTAGGTTTTGACTAATTTTGTTTATGTACATATTGACTCCTTCAGCTGATTATTTCGTGGTACGAAGCCAATTGAAATCTATGGTTTTCTTTTATTAATTCTGATGTAGTGAGGTGGCCTTCTGCTTCTAGAACTCTAAGATTAATTCCTAAACTAATTCTTACCATATTATAGTAGGATTCACCATGACTCAGGTAATGACTGAACCAGAGACGGTGCAGAGAAAACTGATTAATTGATTCCCCATGAAAGATTTGATATTCTAGACCAAATTCCTTTGATTCCAATCCGCGTCCCAGACTAATCTACTAAGAAAACCCACCCTTTACAGCGCTATTTTCCTATCTGGACCATGATATCTGATGGTTTGCAAGACAATAAACATCGATAAAAAATCTAGACTAGGAATACAGATTAAAAGGAATTCATACCATTGTTATTAGACTTGTTTCCTATTAGGATATTGATATCGGTTTGTAACTGATCCAGTTGTTCCTTTATTTCTTTCAACATTGCATTATTGCAATGCTGGGTACCGATTGGAGTTGAGGTCGAATTGACAAGATGGTTTGTAGGTAAAGCCTGGGTCTTCACCAAGTCGTAGAAGATCACCAAACTCCAACAAAAAGTCACAGACATACAAGCCATCGTAAGAATTAAGCTTAGACGCGAGGCAGTGAAGTCCTTTTGGAACGAACTAGTGAAAACCTGTGATCCTACGTATCTTTTTGCGTCTAATGCATTTTTTTTCTTGCCAATTTGGTCCCTTGTACTCCCTTGTTAATTGTTAACAAGGACTTCATTTGAGTTTTATCGACAACATCTTAAGCAAATATTTGCACTCTACATTAATAATCACAGATATTTGTTTAAAAACAAATACGCTGTCACTAGGCAACTAGTATAGGACTTGGCAGCACGAGACCATTTTGCATTATTTCGGTATCATTATATGGTTTAACCTTGGGATTCTTGGTATTTATTTTTGGGGGTTTTCCCGGAATTAATAATATTTTAATCCAATCATGTCTCCATATTTGTATAACTGTTTACTATATACTATTTTTGTTTTTGTTTGTACTTTTATATAGGATTGATATTTGGCTTCATCTGTTATAATCATGTGTGAATAATCATTAGTTATTTTTTCACAACTAAAATCTAGTTTATCCACATCGCCTCTTTCAATCATTCCAATATTTTATCAGTTATTGGATCTTCAATGAGTTTCTTTTTATACGTTTTTAGTATTGGTTCTAAGGTGAAATATCTTGCCACATATATATTGTGCTTTTTGTAATACTGCTTCTGGTTCAAGTAAAATGGCTCCTCTATAAGTCCAGTCATCATCAAGATGGCATGTACCTGATATTACTCCAGTACAAAGCAAAAATCCATGGTCTGGAGCTCCGTCTTGATTCTTTGTAAAGACTTAATTGCTATAATGCAGATTTAAGTGCAATTTTTATGTCTTTTTGGACTGGTTTTTGATTCGATATTTGATGCAAGGCCACATTCATTGTTTAATTTTCGTGTAGATATTAACATTTTCCATTTGGCGGAATATACATGGTGATCAAGCTGGTTCCCCCTGAGATAAAGATTGTTGCTCGGACAATAGCCGTTTTAAAAATCATTCCATATATTATACAGTTACATTTTATGGAAACTTTAGATAAGATCTAAATTTTGTTTTATATTTTGTGAAAATATTCTCATATTTATTTCTTATGGAAACTTTGGAGATGTATTTTATACGTTTCCTTTGACCAGAATTGATTGGAGCAGTATCTGCATGGAATACGCACTCCCATCATGTGTTTATTCAGATAGGTGATGATATGGTCATAACCATTTGATATGAGGAATCTGTATCCATTATGCCTATACCGACTTTTCACTTCTCTTTGAGCTTCTCTAATCTTGTAATTATTTGTGGGGCTTTTGAATTCAATGCAGAGGCCAGTATACTCTTTGTGATAATTTGCTATAATGGTGTCAGGCTGTCCTTTCATATACCCTTTGCGCCATCAGTTGATACGTTTTTTTGATGTATCTTGCTTCTTACCAAGCCCTGCAGTCATGATAGCCCCAGGATAAAAACGCCTGATGTATTTCACTTCTTTGATGTATTTTACTTTTAAATAGTTTTGGTTTCAACAGCCAGAAGCAAAGAATGTTTTTGGCCATTATGGCAAAAAGACAACATACACTACATGAACACACTTATTATATATCATATTAAAATCACTCTTTCTTGATCTTATTGAAATAGTTTTTATATTTGTCATTCATGATATCAGTACAAACTGCATGAAGAAGATCAGCCAGTGTTATGTTGTCATCCATTTCTTTCAACTTTTTCACATATGTTTTCATCAGAGATCGTTTATACCTCATTGCAGCAAGATCTTCCTCCAATTCACGGATTTTATCATATAGCTCATCAAGTCCATCTTCTTTATCGCAAATATCTGAATGCAGTTTTTCAACACATTTTACAATATAATCAGCCATTATATATTAGTTAGATAAATCTTGTAAATCCTTCAGTGGAATCCAAGAATTAAAGTCTTCGTTATATGCCAACCACTTCACAAGAGCTTGTTTCTTCTTATAATATTTCCGAATCACTTTATCAAAGCGGAATATATCTTGTTTTGCCTTTAGTAATTCAGGTTCGTAAAAGCTCCCTTGTCTCCCTTGTATCTCCTCGTTGTTGAGATCCTTTGACCTGTAGGTAATTGGATTTGTGGACTGGATTTTATCGATAAGGAAAATCTCTTCAGTCCAATTAGGTGTGTAGCCTTCATCAAACACCTTTCTTTTGTATTTACTTATCCTAACTTTATCACCAATCTTGAACCTAGCACGGTTTAGATGACCCGTAGATATATATTTTTTAGCAACTAAGATAATTTGCAGTCTGTCTACTTTGAATTGCTCCATATTACCATATAGATTGAAATACACGGTACTTCGATTCTTCTTTTTACTGGCTTCAACAAGTGTCATTTTAATGGAACTGTTCGAAACTGTGCTTAGTGTTATTATACCGCTTCAGTACTTTTGGTAGAATTTCTAAATACACTGTGCTACCTTGGACAGTAAACTGCTTCCAAGGTAACACAGGACCTCTCTGAGATCTTCGGATCTCACGAAATCTAAGGCTTTTACCATTTTTCTATCTGCTTTATTTTGCACTTCCGGTCATCTTTATAGGCGGAATAATCAACGTCATGCTGCCTACTAATGGCATCTGTTTTTCCAGTTGGCGGATCATAAATTTCTAATACAGTCGACTTTCTCTTAACAGACACCTCTATAAGACGGACACCTCCCTTAAACGGACACCTAGAGCTGGTCCCTGCCTTTCTTTACTCCCTTGACTCCCTATAAGACGGACATCTCTCTAAGACGGACACTTACTGCCGGTTTCAAAGGTGTCCGTCTTAGAGGGAATTGACTGTATTTCACCCGTTGTTGGGTCATATCTTACTTGGTTTTCTAAATCATTCATCATCATACGGACCTGCGTATTTATGCCCTGGCAATGTCCATCCAGCCTTTGGTTTTGGTAGTTTGCCAATGGCTTTGTGAACATCTATTCCACTTCCAAATCCTGGAAATGTGTAAGAACGTTTTTCAACACCGCCTGTCTTTTTTGCAAAGCTGGTATATGATCCTCTGTAGCCTAAAGTTTGCACAGCATGATAAGATCTTTTCAATGCAGCCACACGTTGAACCATATCAGCAATTTCTTGTTTGGTTGTTGTTTTCCATAGGTCTAGATCTTCTAACAATTTTGTGCCTTTTTTGAAATCAACACGCCATGGAACACCAGCAATATTACCTTCTGTCAATTCACTTATGCCTTTGGATTTGGCTTCATCAATAATGCCAGATCCTTGTTGAAAAATATGTCCTAAATTTAGTGCAGATAAAAATTGTATTAATGTTCCCCTATATCCAAAAATTCTAGCCTGTTCCCAGGCATATTTAGCCAATTGAGTTTTTGTGGGTCGTTTGCTATTTTTGCTATTCTTGTATATTACCACCTTTTTGTAAGGATCCTCGATCTAAATCATTTCTATCAGTTTTGTACTTTTTATTTGGCCTTATTTTAGTGCTCAATTGATCAAGACCTTGAGATCCAACATTTTGTATCACAGGAGTGAGCTTTTTCAATCCATAATTTGTGACCTTCTTCTGCAAATTTTTATTTGTCAGAGCTTCGGAACAATAATATCTTGCCATTTGTACACTCTTTTTCGCCATATATGGAAGAGCATGTTCTACAAATAAATTTGTTGCAGCCCCTACAGCAGCATAAAATAAATCGCCCCCTGCTTAAAGGGGCCCAATTAGTTTCCCTTCACGAATTTAGTTTTAGTGATTCCGCATTCGGCGCAAGTGCATTTCATCACTAATCGGCCATTTTTGGCTTTAACAATTATTTCACTACCTGGTACACATTTTGTTTGTTTTTTCTGTTTAACACAATAGGATTTCACCATTTCTGTATACAATATGTTACGTAAAAATGGGGGTAATATCGTTTAATCACTGCCGCTGCTGTTGTCTGGAACATAAGTTAGGTCTCCACTTGAGCTATCCGACTTATATTCACCTTCACTGGTGCTCAAAGGCTCACATTTGCAGCATTCTAAACCACTATATTCATTCACATAATGCGGAGTAACTTCTTAGCAACATACACAGAATTTATCAGTCATTATATATATATAGACAGTATAGATTACACTATTGTAAAATACTTCTCCATAAACTGCTCATTCTTCATTGTGTCATGAATGTTAAATACTCTTAACATATCATCATAATTATGTTGTACCCTTGCTCATCTCATTTAAAAAGTACAAACAGAAGTAACCGCATGTTGTTGTGTTAATATTTTGCATCTGGTTGTTTTGATGCAATAGTGTCAGATTCTTGCTTCTGGCATGATCAACATTTGAAACGGAGGCATCCCAAAACTGTCAAAATAATTGATGACACCATCTTTTACATAGGTGGAGACCCAATGAGACCCACTCATATGAGATGACTCAAGATTATAAACAAATGATGCTTGCCTATGGTTGTGAGGAATTGTTTGGTCTCTCGACAGCACATCTTTTATAGGTATATTCAAATATCTACTCCATTCGAACAGATCATGATTACTCACTGGGATATTTTTGTGGAATTTGGGTTTTACAGTATGGTGCCTAAGATAGGTACGTTTTTGAACGGTGAATTGGCTCCTAGTAGCAGACCTTGCCCCTTTTTTAATGACTGAGTTCTTTTCTTTTACCACCGCAACGCATCTGTTCCCATGTTCCAACAAAAGGAGGAGGTGATTGATACACGCCCAATCGAGGGGCCCCATGACCATCTTGTTTTCCAGTGCTTCTCCCCAATCTTGGTGCTCCCTTACCAGTTATTTTTTTAGCCAGCTCAATAGCCAATGGAATACCGATTGATGCTAAAATAGTCCCAAAGCCGTTACCCAGCTGTGTTTTGGTTGGTTTTATACGAGCACCTGAACGTGTTTGAAGAGCATTAAGAATATCCTGTTTGTTTTGCGGATAGAAGGTGTTTATATGCAATCAACCGATTGATTTTATTCTGCGGGATTAAAAAACCTCCTACTTGCCCTCCAGTTATCGTTTTTCTAATTTTCTTCCAAAGTCTACCACATCAGTGAATATATTACCTTCAGATATCTTTTTTACCAATTGACTGGCATCTTCACTAGCAAGACCTGCTAACGCTGACAAACCAAGTGTTTTGCCAATTGTTGGTGCTAGGGCTCTGCCCATTGATAAATTACTGGTTGATAGACTGCCTCCCACTTGTTTTCGTATATTAGTCTTGGCTAATTTGATATCCATGCCTTTACTTAATCGGCGGTTCTTAATTAATCTCTTCACAATATTTGATGGAACATATAGTGTATCACTTCAGGAAAGCGCGTTTCTAAATACACTGTGCTACCTTGGACAGTAAACTGCTTCCAAGGTAACACAGGACCTCTCTGAGATCTTCGGATCTCACGAAATCTAAGGCTTTTACCATTTTTCTATCTGCTTTATTTTGCACTTCCGGTCATCTTTACAGGCGGAATAATCAACGTCATGCTGCCTACTAATGGCATCTGTTTTTCCAGTTGGCGGATCATAAATTTCTAATACAGTCGACTCTCTCTTAACAGACACCTCTATAAGACGGACACCTCCCTAAAACGGACACCTAGAGCTGGTCCCTGCCTTTCTTTACTCCCTTGACTCCCTATAAGACGGACATCTCTCTAAGACGGACACTTACTGCCGGTTTCAAAGGTGTCCGTCTTAGAGGGAATTGACTGTATTTCACCCGTTGTTGGGTCATATCTTACTTGGTTTTCTAAATCATTCATCATCATACGGACCTGCGTATTTATGCCCTGGCAATGTCCATCCAGCCTTTGGTTTTGGTAGTTTGCCAATGGCTTTGTGAACATCTATTCCACTTCCAAATCCTGGAAATGTGTAAGAACGTTTTTCAACACCGCCTGTCTTTTTTGCAAAGCTGGTATATGATCCTCTGTAGCCTAAAGTTTGCACAGCATGATAAGATCTTTTCAATGCAGCCACACGTTGAACCATATCAGCAATTTCTTGTTTGGTTGTTGTTTTCCATAGGTCTAGATCTTCTAACAATTTTGTGCCTTTTTTGAAATCAACACGCCATGGAACACCAGCAATATTACCTTCTGTCAATTCACTTATGCCTTTGGATTTGGCTTCATCAATAATGCCAGATCCTTGTTGAAAAATATGTCCTAAATTTAGTGCAGATAAAAATTGTATTAATGTTCCCCTATATCCAAAAATTCTAGCCTGTTCCCAGGCATATTTAGCCAATTGAGTTTTTGTGGGTCGTTTGCTATTTTTGCTATTCTTGTATATTACCACCTTTTTGTAAGGATCCTCGATCTAAATCATTTCTATCAGTTTTGTACTTTTTATTTGGCCTTATTTTAGTGCTCAATTGATCAAGACCTTGAGATCCAACATTTTGTATCACAGGAGTGAGCTTTTTCAATCCATAATTTGTGACCTTCTTCTGCAAATTTTTATTTGTCAGAGCTTCGGAACCATAATATCTTGCCATTTGTACACTCTTTTTCGCCATATATGGAAGAGCATGTTCTACAAATAAATTTGTTGCAGCCCCTACAGCGGCATAAAATAAATCGCCCCCTGCTTGAAGGGGCCCAATTAGTTTCCCTTCACGAATTTAGTTTTAGTGATTCCGCATTCGGCGCAAGTGCATTTCATCACTAATCGGCCATTTTTGGCTTTAACAATTATTTCACTACCTGGTACACATTTTGTTTGTTTTTTCTGTTTAACACAATAGGATTTCACCATTTCTGTATACAATATGTTACGTAAAAATGGGGGTAATATCGTTTAATCACTGCCGCTGCTGTTGTCTGGAACATAAGTTAGGTCTCCACTTGAGCTATCCGACTTATATTCACCTTCACTGGTGCTCAAAGGCTCACATTTGCAGCATTCTAAACCACTATATTCATTCACATAATGCGGAGTAACTTCTTAGCAACATACACAGAATTTATCAGTCATTATATATATAGACAGTATAGATTACACTATTTTAAAATACTTCTCTATAAACTGCTCATTCTTCATTGTGTCATGAATGTTAAATACTCTTAACATATCATCATAATTATGTTGTACCCTTGCTCATCTCATTTAAAAAGTACAAACAGAAGTAACCGCATGTTGTTGTGTTAATATTTTGCATCTGGTTGTTTTGATGCAATAGTGTCAGATTCTTGCTTCTGGCATGATCAACATTTGAAACGGAGGCATCCCAAAACTGTCAAAATAATTGATGACACCATCTTTTACATAGGTGGAGACCCAATGAGACCCACTCATATGAGATGACTCAAGATTATAAACAAATGATGCTTGCCTATGGTTGTGAGGAATTGTTTGGTCTCTCGACAGCACATCTTTTATAGGTATATTCAAATATCTACTCCATTCGAACAGATCATGATTACTCACTGGGATATTTTTGTGGAATTTGGGTTTTACAGTATGGTGCCTAAGATAGGTACGTTTTTGAACGGTGAATTGGCTCCTAGTAGCAGACCTTGCCCCTTTTTTAATGACTGAGTTCTTTTCTTTTACCACCGCAACGCATCTGTTCCCATGTTCCAACAAAAGGAGGAGGTGATTGATACACGCCCAATCGAGGGGCCCCATGACCATCTTGTTTTCCAGTGCTTCTCCCCAATCTTGGTGCTCCCTTACCAGTTATTTTTTTAGCCAGCTCAATAGCCAATGGAATACCGATTGATGCTAAAATAGTCCCAAAGCCGTTACCCAGCTGTGTTTTGGTTGGTTTTATACGAGCACCTGAACGTGTTTGAAGAGCATTAAGAATATCCTGTTTGTTTTGCGGATAGAAGGTGTTTATATGCAATCAACCGATTGATTTTATTCTGCGGGATTAAAAAACCTCCTACTTGCCCTCCAGTTATCGTTTTTCTAATTTTCTTCCAAAGTCTACCACATCAGTGAATATATTACCTTCAGATATCTTTTTTACCAATTGACTGGCATCTTCACTAGCAAGACCTGCTAACGCTGACAAACCAAGTGTTTTGCCAATTGTTGGTGCTAGGGCTCTGCCCATTGATAAATTACTGGTTGATAGACTGCCTCCCACTTGTTTTCGTATATTAGTCTTGGCTAATTTGATATCCATGCCTTTACTTAATCGGCGGTTCTTAATTAATCTCTTCACAATATTTGATGGAACATATAGTGTATCACTTCAGGAAAGCGCGTTGCTTTCTAAGCTAAGAACAGTTGTCTCTCTCTGATAAAAAGCCCGAGAAAGATTCCTTTTTTGGTTTTCTGATAGTTTTACTTTTATCTCATAGACTTGTGTCATATCTTCTATATATTATATGTTAGATAATCTTTAATTAAAAAACATATTTACTCTCCATGCAGGGGGCGCCATTTTGGTGGGGTCTTTGAAATTACACAATAACCAGCTCACTACCACTCTTATCAATTTTAAGCATCTCTGCAGGTTCTTATTAACCCAACTCTTTTGTGGACGTAAGCAACAAAATCAGACTAACGAAATTCTTTAACGGGCATAGTCGTTGTCATAACTACAATCCTTTAAGCAAACTTCGCTTCCGTTACTCCAAGTTAGAAAAACATAAGAAATGTGCTGCTACAATTCGTTTACAGGCCACCCATCCTAACAGGATTAGAAAGTTTGGAAGGGAGTAGCCTGGGCCCCGCCTCCTCGGTGGGGAAAATGGAATCTCTCCGATATTTAGCCCCCTCTCCCTAGAACCCGGGTAATCTTAACAAAAACTCAGTTGATAAATGTGCCTTGAATATTTAACCAATGGTTTAAGAGTGTGGAAAAACTCTATTAAAAAGCAGTAATATTTGATTGCTTTACTAAATATTCTGTAGATTGTTGTCAAGCTCGGCGTATAAAGCGCATTCATTATTAAATGCATTTAAATTTACTACTTATGGCGGTTTGAATTGGCCGTATATAGAATATATGTCATTAAGTTCAAATATGTCTTAGAAACCTTTGAAACGTAACACCCAGGTCCATGATTATCGCCAAGTTAGTCCCCATGCAGTTTCACACTCACTGTTTCTATATAATCTGCATGCTGAGCAAATGGCTGTTCATTTGAGTAGACATTGTTTTACTTTGCACTGACTTGTTTTTTATCGCGTGCGCTGTGATACTTCGCTGTTTTAACAATTCAGTGTATCCTTTGGATAGCTAATGTCAGTGATACTTCCAGGCCGGGTGCAGGCCGACCGTCTCAGGCATGGGGCTGAGGGCAGCTGGGGACCCGAAACCGCGCCTAAAAATTCTCTCCCATACAGGGTAGCTAGCGGAAGCTCGAGCAAGTGGCCAAAAATTGTAGCATTGATAAAACAAAACTTCCAGGCCTAGTACTGCCAGTTTCACAGTGCACAGAATGACGTTGCGCGTGTTATTGTAGCCATATAATAAATAAAAATATTCTCAGATTTTTATTCATGTTTATTAAGATGAATGACCTTTATGGAGTGACCAAGTCTTCTTAAGTACAAACGAAAACCGATACCCAATAAACAGAAGATCTGTAACCAAACAGCGTAAATGGTGGCTTCGATTTACTGTATTTCCTCTACGGGGAAATTCATAAAGCTTACAATTCCAGAGTAAGAGTAATCCTAGGTAAAATCAGGAGTAAGCCCCTCGGCCCGGGAAACAAACGGAGCATTCAAGAAGACCCGATACAGTACACCTCACGTTTCAGATTTTTTCTTTTTTAATCGGCCCGTGGCCAGTAATAACACATCACTACAGATTCTTCAAAATCTATTCCACACCACAAGATTAAAATGTCCAATCACGTGCAGACTTTATTTATCTATACATACACCCTACCCTGGTAACAAGTAAAGTAAGGCTGACCACGCCTAGTCGAAATCCTCATACCTTTAAGGCACACAGCTAGAGAAATGAAGCGCTTGGAAATTGTTGCTAACAGCAATTGGCTCTATCAAACATTCTACAACGTTGGTGTACCCCGGTCTAATAGTCTATCATAATCACAGATGCTAATTAAGATGCTATTATAGAAAGTTAGTCAGTTATACAACCGGGCCATCATATTGTATTGTAAATAGTGTCATACGCGTTGTAAGACGCACTTTGTCTCTTCCCTCTCTCCTAATCCCTTATCATGTAATTATGTACTTCCTGTGACTTACATCAATGTGATTGAATAAAATAAATGATCGTTATGGCGCTCTGAGACAGTTCTACAACGTTGGTATACTATGTGGTGGCGTTCTACGAGAAACAAAGTCTATGATCAGGTTGTTAGGATTGGTGATCGTCGTGGCCCTCTAACACAGTTCTAAAAGTTCACCGGTCTGATTTTCATCTCAGCTCTCTTTGCAGAGTAGTAATGTCCTTTCCATGCATACCAGTTGACACCATCAGCATACGATGAATGTGAACCATGGTGGTACAAACCATTCAGATGTGATGTATGGCAGTTTGTGTACCACCAGGCTCCTTTGTAGGCCACAGCACAGTTGCCAGCATTGTTATCATTATCTTGGTCTTTAGTGGTAAATGGCTGGCCACGATGCCCAGAAAAAGAGTCGCCAGCGGTTCCTAGAATTAATAATACAAGAGAATTTTACCAGGAAGTTTTTAAATATTAAATAGAAAATCTGAATATAATGTGTAGTATTGAAGAATAAGAGAAAGGTCGCTTTGGGGAATTTAAGCTGTAGAGATAACTAAGGACCATAACGAAGTCAAGGAAAGCCCATAGAGACATATTATGAATATTAACTGACGATAATAATGAAACACTGAAGACAATTTTTTAGAGGCGACGTGTCATTAGTTCACCTGAATAAGGTCCCAAACTAAGCTGGTACTTAGTCCTCTCGCTTGTAACAGCAAACATGTCGTATTCAGCGTAAGCGGTTTTGCCTGTAGTGTCCTCCAGATCAACTCGAAGCTTATTATTTGATTTGGTCAGGCGGTTAATCTTGTCCAATCCAAGCCAAAACTCGCCATTCAGGTTACCAAACCCCCACTTGTAGTCAGTCCAGCCGCGGTAGAAATCAACCGAGCCGTCCAGTCTCTTTTGGAACATTGTCCACCCTCCTCCGGTTGTTGTTTGGTCACAGAATACATCAAATGCACCTTGACCATCAGGGTCGATTGTATAAACACCACTGATTCTTTCCCCAGCTTTGTAAAGCTCAGCACAGTTCTGCTGTTTACCTGTTCAGAAAGTGATTACTGTTACAATAGACACTCTCTTGGGGACACCTCTATAAAACGGACACCTAGAGTTGGTCCCTGCCTTTGTTTACTCCCTTTATTTGACTTTCTATTAGACGAAAATCTCTCTAAGACGGGTACCCCGGGGGGCGGGGGGGTACTCCTGAAAATCCTTGGTGAGGGTGTGCCGCCCGGTTCTCCAAATCCTGACCCTATTTCAGACCAAAAAAATGTAATCTTTCACACCCGTTTTCAGACCAGACCTCTAAAATCCATACCCCTTTTTTTAGACCTGGCCTTTAGGCAGAAATTATGTTATCATTACTTAGATAAGAGCGCAAACAAAAAACTCTTCAAATCCATTTCGAATCCGCATATTTCTCTTTCTTTCGTGTACTCATTTGGAATAGAAACGATAAATAAGTTCACACACTCCCGTAGTTCCCTGGAAAACCATACCCGATTCCAGACCAAAATGAGGAAAGTGTATACCCGTTTTCAGACCAAAATGGCTTATACAAGGGAATCCCCCCCGGGGCGGGTATTAAGTGCCCGTTCCAAAGGTCTCCGTCTTGATGAGAGTTGATTGTACAGCAAATCTCTATTAACCCTAAGAGTGATCAGCGTCAAATTTCTCCTTGTAATAACATTGCTTTATAAAACAGAGTGGTCATGACAATTAAGGACATGATCACACAAGATGAATCTAATTGACACTCCAACAAATTCTCCCTACTTCTTCTATTGAAAACGTATCAGGATAACAAATGAGAATTTGAATTTTGATGTTAAGGTTTAAAGGTTTAAGGAGTCACCGTCTATTATGGGGCTTCTTGATAAAAAGAATCGTTTTACGTTTTTCTGTCAGTAGTGTAAAGTTGCTGTTTAAGGAGGAATCAGGAGTTGATCAAAATGACATTTATTACAAGCTCACTAACAACCTCTTGGTCGCAAATCCGGGACCTTGAGTTTACACAATACAATGCCATACAAGGTGACAGCATTACATTACAATTGGCTCTATACCAGTGAACTAGGTTTAGACTAATTTTGTTTATGTACATATTGACTCCTTCAGCTGATTATTTCGTGGTACGTAGTCAATTGAAATCTCTGGTTTTCTTTTATTAATTCTGATGTGGTGAGGTGGCCTTCTGCTACTAAAACTCTAAGATTAATTCCTAAACTAATTCTTACCATATTATAGTAGGATTCACCATGACTCAGGTAATGACTGAACCAGAGACGGTGCAGAGAAAACTGATTAATTGATTCCCCATGAAAGATTTGATATTCTAGACTAAATTCGTTTGATTCCGATTTGCGTCCCAGACTAATCTACTAAGAAAACCTACCCTTTACAGCGCTATTTTCCTATCTGGACCATGATATCTGAGGGTTTGCAAGACAATAAACATCGATAAAAAATCTAGACTAGGAATACAGATTAAAAGGAATTCATACCATTGTTATTAGACTTGTTTCCTTTTAGGATATTGATATCGGTTTGTAACTGATCCAGTAGTTCCTTTATTTCTTTCAACATTGCATTATTGCAATGCTGGGTACCGATTGGAGTTGAGGTCGAATTGACAAGACGGTTTGTAGGTAATGCCTGGGTCTTCACCAAGACGTAGAAGATCACCAAACTCCAACAAAAAGTCACAGACATACAAGCCATCGTAAGAATTAAGCTTAGACGCGAGGCAATGAGTTCCTTTTGGAACGGACTAATGAAAACCTGTGACCCTACGTATCTTTTTGGGTCTAATGCGTTTTTTTTTTCTTGCGAATTTGTTCCCTTGTACGCCCTTGTTAATTGTTAACAAGGACATCATTTGAGTCTTATAGACAACATCTTAAGCAAATATTTGCACTCTATGTTAATAATCACAGACATTTGTTTAAAAACAAATACGCTGTCACTAGGCAACTAGTATAGGACATGGAGGAACGAGACCATTTTGCATTATTTCGGTATCATTATATGGTTTAACCTTGGGATTCCTGGTATTTAGTTTTGGGGGTTTTCCTGAAATTAATAATATTTTAATCCAATCATGTCTCCATATTTGTATAACTCTTTACTATATACTATTTTTGTTTTTGTTTGTACTTTTATATAGGATTGATATTTGGCTTCATGTGTGCTTCATAATCATGTGTGAATAATCATTAGTTATTTTTTCACAACTAAAATCTAGTTTATCCACATCGCCTCTTTCAATCATTCCAATATTTTATTAGTTATTGGGTTTTCAATGAGTTTCTTTTTATACGTTTTTAGTATTGGTTCAACGTGAAATGTTTTGCCACAAATATATTGTGCTTTTTGTAATACTTCTTCTGGTTCAAGTAAAATGGCTCCTTTGTAAGTCCAATCATCATCAATATGGCATGTACTTGATATTACTCCAGTACAAAGCAAAAATCCATGGTCTGGAACTCTTGATTCTTTGTAAAGGCTTAATTGCTATAATGCAGATTTAAGTGCAATTTTTATGTCTTTCATTGTGGACTGGTTTTTGATTCGATATTTGATGCAAGGCCACATTCATTGTTTAATTTTCGTGTAGATATTGACATTTTCCATTTGGTGGAATATACATGGTGATCAAGCTGGTTCCAACAGATAAACATTGTTGCTCGGACAATAGTTTTAGAAATGATTCCACATAATATATATTTACCTTTTATGGAAGCTTTAGATAGGAACTAAATTTTGTTTTATATTTCGTGAAAATATTCTCATATTTATTTCTTATGGAAACTTTGGAGATGTATTTTATACGTTTCCTTTGACCAGAATTGATTGGAGCAGTACCTGCATGGAATACGCACTCCCATCATGTGTTTATTCAGGTATGTGATGATATGGTCATAACCATTTGATATGAGGAATCTGTATCCATTTTGCTTATACCGACTTTTCATTTCTCTTTGAGCTTCCCTAATCTAGTAATTATTTGTGGGGCTTTTGAATTCAATGCAGAGGCCAGTATACTCTTTGTGATAATTTGCTATAATGGTGTCAGGCTGTCCTTTCATATATCCTTTGCGCCATGAGTTGGTACGTTTTTTTCGGGTATCTTGGTTCTTACCAAGCCCGGCAGTCATGATAGCCTCAGGATAAAAACGCCTGATGTATTGCACTTCTTTGCATTGAAGATCGGTTTCATTTTCTATTTTAAACATATTCAAGTTGTTTGGATTGTCAAACAGATTGTATTGCCCATATTTTCTGATTGAAGGCAGTACTTAGGATGTAACCCAATGCTTGAATTTTTTAGCAGTTTCTAATTTTGAAGACAAAACCAAGAATAAAAACCTTTATTTATTTATGAAAGTAGACCAGCGGACCTGACCCTTCGTTTTGACGGGGTAGCTTTTTCCATCCTCAGAGTCGATATGTTTTCTCAACGCTTGATCCGTATGAATGTATCCGAGGATTTTGGCAATATCTTTTGCCTTAAACCAGATATTTTGTTTGGTATCAATATATGAAATCAATTCAATTTCAAACTCATTATTCGTGAATGTTTTTTCTATCATTGTCATTACTATAATATATAATTTACTTTTAACAAGAGCCATAATGGGCTGCTTTTAAATAGTTTTGGTTTCAACAGCCAGAAGCAAAGAATGTTTTTGGCCATTATGGCAAAAAGACAGTATTGCACTACATGAACCCACTTATTATATATTATATCAAAATCACTCTTTCTTGATCACATTCAAATACTTTTTATAGCTGTCATTCATGATATCAGTACAAAATTGAATGAAGAAGATCAGCCAGTGTTATGTTGTCATCCATTTCTTTCAACTTTTTCACATATATTTTCATCATGCCTCATTGCAACAAGATCTTCCTCCACTTCACGGGTTTTATCATATAGCTCATCAAGTTCCTCTTCTTTATCGCAAATATCTGAATACAGTTTTTTAACACATTTTACAATATAATCAGCCATTATATATTACTTCGATAAATCTTTTAAATCTTTCAGCGGAATCCAAGAATTAAAGTCGTCGCTATATCCCAACCACTTTACAAGAGCTTGTTTCTTCTTATAATCTCTTCGAATGACTTTATCAATACGGAATATATCTTGTTTTGCTTTTAATAATTCAGGTTCGTAAAAGCTCCCTTGTCTCCCTTGTATCTCCTCGTTGTTGAGATCCTTTGACCTGTAGGTAATTGGATTTGTGGATTGGATTTTATCGACCAAGAATATCTCTTCAGTCCAATTAGGTGTGTAGCCTTCCTCCTAACTTTATCACCAACCTTGAACCTAGGTTTAGATGACAACTGCTCCATATTACCATATAGATTGAAATACACGGTTAGAAAGTTTAGAAGGGAGTAGCCTGGGCCCCTCCTCCTCGGTGGGGAAAATGGAATCTCTCCGATATTAAGCCCCCTCTCCCTAGAACCCGGGTAATCTTGACAAAAACCCAATTGATAAATGTGTCTTGAATATTTAACCATTGGTTTAAGAGTGTGGAAAAACTCGATTAAAAAGCAGTGATATTTGATGGCTTTACTAAATATTCGGTAGATTGTTGTCAAGCTCGGCGTATAAAGCGCATTCATGATTAAATGTATTTAAATTTTCTACTTATGGCGGTTTGAATTGGCTGTATATAGAATATATGTAATTAACTTCAAATATGTCTTAGAAACTTTTGAAACGTAACACCCAGGTCCATGTTTGTGGTTAAAATCAAGAGGAAATGAGATAGACAATTCTCTGGTGGCTGAAATAAGATAAAAAAAGATACACATGCACATGAAGAAGTCCAGTGGCCAAAAAGGAAAGGAAAAAGACCTTTGTACTCAAAATTTATGCACATTCCTCTTTTGCAATACAATATGTTAAATATGCACCTTTTGAAAAA